TCCAACCTGACCCATCCTGGGATTCTACGACATGTTGTCACATCCCCACATCCTCAGTTAAGCTTGGGCTTTCCTGTGTGAAGATGTGCAGCTGCACCACTTCTCTTTTCCAGGATTTGAGACATGGATGATGGGAAGATCAACTTTGGATTCTTCCAGCAGGTCACACAGTGGCAGAAGTGCAACCACAGCCTGGAGCAAACACGTCTCCTCTCGGTCATGGGCCCACCCAGGGCAGGACTCGCACCAGGAAAGGAGCAGGTCTGAGCTGGCAAAGGGATAACAGAGATTGGAGCAGCCTCTCCTTGCTGATATCAAGCACAGGCAGGCAGGATCCCTGCAGGGAGAGGAGCCGGGCAGGAAGCGGCCGCTGAGTCATGGGAAGGGCCTGTCCCCTGGGATCGGCCCCACAACGGCCCCAGTGCAGGAGCAGCTGGCACTGGAACACCTGAAGGCATTCCACAGGTCCCATCACTCCCAGTTTAGCAAAAGGAGACAAGGAGTTCTGGAAAGCTGTGAAACGGGCAAAGCCAAAGCTGGTCAAGCCCTGTTTGCACCCAATCCCGAAGGATGAGGGACAACGCTCCAACAAACCACGAAAAGCTGTGATTCAAGAGGAGAGACCTGAGGAACATTATGTCAGGGTGCAAAATGTGGAGAAGATGATGGAAAAGTAACTTTCCCACTTTGGTTACTCGTTGGGGTTTGTGCCTCGTGGTACCCACACAGGCACAGCCACCCCTTTCCCACAGCCCCGACAGCCGAGTGTCCCAAACCCCATCCCGTGTTCCCCTGGCTGTGTGCTTCGAGATCCATGTTTCCCAGCTGGTGAAGAAAGCCCCAAAGGAAACTCTCAGCTACTAAAAAGGAAAGTAGAACGATCTCAGCACGGTCACACCCTCCCCTCAACGCCTCACACTGTCAGAACAAAAGCTCTAAAAAGCCATTTCCTGAAAGCACAAAACGCTGCTCTGAGGCAGCGGGAAGGGCCATCCGTGCTGGAACACGAGCAAGGCAGGGCATTAAAGCTCCTGACATCACCTTTCCCAAGTATTTTGAGGAGCACTCGTGGTCTCGTGCTACCTGATTGACTGAACTTGTGCTCTCCAGCACGGAAGTGGCCACAGGGAGCGGAGCCAAGTAGAAACCCACTAACATCCACATCCTGATGGTAATTTTAGCCCTGCAAGTATTCAGCCCTCTATTTAGATAAATATCCCTTGCTGGTTAGAGGAGGCTGAGCCAGCTGCATCCAGTGGGATCAGGGCTCGCTGTAAATCCCGATCCAGTTCAATAATTAGCAGTTTTATCTGCTGTTTTAATCATCAGAGCGTGAACTCTGGCACAGTGGGGACACTCCTGAGCCCTGGGTCAGCAGGACATGCCCCTGGCGCTGCCTCTCATTAGGAGAGGCCACGGATGGCATGTTTTCCTTGGCATCCTCCCTCTTTGCTCGCCGCTGGAAAGAGCAAAAGCTTCCTTGGAAACTCCTATTGACGTCGTAGAATCACAGAATTCCCTGAGTTGGAAGGGACCCACGAGGAAATCACTTCTTGCTTTAGTTTTCCAACCCCTGGCCCTGAACAGGACACCCCAACAATCCCACCTTGTCCCTGTCCAAACACTTCTTGAGCTCTGGCAGCCTTGGGGCCGTGCCCACTGCCCTGGAGAGCCTGTTCA